CTGCTGGCTCCCGAAGTTCTATTTAAAGCCCCCGAGGTTACTGAGTTCTGCTGGTGAATTGCGGGCCCCGGGGTCGATTTCATCTGGGCTAATTCTGCTATACAGCAGGTCGCCAAGGGCCCACCTTGCCCAGCGGGATTATCTAATTTGCTACCTTGCCCAGCTATCTCGTTTTCAAAACTCCATTGAAATGAATGGGAACAGTGCAAAAACAACAACAACCACCACCACCATTAAGGCGTTTGTGCTTCTTTGGAATTTTTTTTTAAAAAAGGACTTTGTGCTTCTTTTGCGCGCCTTGGAAATCTGTACCTCCTTGAGTTTAAAAAATTACCTTCCATTTTTCCTTGCTGTTCTAAAAAGTCTCTCCTGCTTTGCACCTCGACGCAAGGGGAAGGCATGGCGCGTAGTCTTTCCCTGCGAGCGGAGAAGGGAAGGCGATTATTATTCTTAGGAAAGCCCGTTGTGGCTAAATATAAACAGAGGGTGGGGGTGGGGAGGGGATAAGGTGCCGGAGGGGAGAATCGGGTCAAACCGTGAGGGAAGCGACCGCGGGAAAGGCATTGATCCTACCCCAAGCTCAAGTGAAGGAACGACCTTCCGGTTGAGTTGAAGAGCCATGGCCCAAGTGTAGGGGGGACGTCGGATCGCGCCGGTTCAAAATCAAAGAGAGCTCCTAACTGGTGCGCGGCGCTCTGGTGGGAAATGCCGCCGTCTTCTTCTCCCCCGGCGCCCCTAAATGGAATTTTCGTACAGTTGTAGGACCAATAAGAAAGCGCAAATTGGAATTCAGGCTGGGATGTCCAAGTGTATCCCTGGGAGGAAGGGGGGAGTGTGGAAAGTAGCCATAGCGGTCTTGTCTCATTAGGATTATTATTTTACCTACCAGATCTTAATTGCACTGTGCTACATAAGGCAAACAAACTAGACCTATGCTCTCCAGATAATGCCATCTCCTGATAAATAAGAGTTGATAACGCTGGTTTATGTATCCCTTGTGCTTTATTTTTGATGGCGTCCCTTTATCCCACATTGTCCTCTTTAACCCTGATTTCCAAGCACGGTCGTGCCCGTTGCTTTTTTACAAACCGATTTATTTTTTTTTTAGTTTCCGGGCAGAATTAAACTATCCGGCATCATCCCGGGTTAGAGAAACGCTTTGGGCACCATCCCGAAAAAGCTAAACACTTCCAGCATCCCAGTGGTTTCCACGGGAGGGGTTTGAACATTCTCTCCCACCCCCCCCCCCCCGGAATCAGCCAGCCTTGACGAGGATGAAACATGGAGACCCAGGCCGAAGGGAGACTCGGAGAGATGGAGGGAAGGGGCTTGTCTGTCTCTACCTTCTTTCTCTGAACGGGGAGTTCTCCTGTCCACCCAAGGAACAGAAGAGGTGCAAGGAATCCTTGCACGGCTCTTATTGAGGCAAGCAAGAAAGTGTCAGGTTGTCTACACTTACTTGGGAGTCAGTCCTTTCGACCTCGGTGGGATTTTCGGCTCGATCTAAGTCGTCTCGGGGCTGCAAATTTCTGGCCTGCTTCGCTCTAGACAGCCAGAAGGCTGCCGGAAAGAGAACACAGAACCGAGAGGGTGATTTCTGGGGCAACCAGTCGAAGCAGACCCACGTTCCGAGAGTCTTGATTCGGAGTCCACTTCCTGTTCATGGATTCAGTTCCTCATTCCGGGTTGGACCTAAACCAATATATCCTGGAGATTTTTAAGGGTGGTGTGGTGGTGCTTACAAGAGACTGGGGGGGGGGATCTACATTAACAATAAATCAGCAAAAATGGAGCAGTCAAAGTTAAGCAAAGTGCAATTAATTTCGGCGGGAATTATGCCAGCCCTGTTCCAGCTCCCCTCCTGAAGTCCCATCGGATTTATAATGCTGCGCTTTGGCTGGATCGCGCCCACGCCTTGCTGAAAACCGAGAGAAACGCTGTCTGCGATGGCAGCATGCGCGTTGCGAACCGTATTAAGGCGAGGTTAGGCGACTCACGAACAATGCAACCCTAGCCAGAGTTACACCCTTCTGAACCCATTGAAGTTAACGGGCTTAGAAAGGCGTCACTCTGTTTAGGACTGCACTCTCAGAAACCTTTGATCTTGACTGCTCCCGCGAGTCCCTCTCCCACCCCCGCCCCCTTTTTGCCCTCGCAGGAGAGAAACACAGAAGTTAGTTATTCATTACCGTTCGCCTGGCGCAAGCTGGTTTCCAGTCTCGAGGAGTCGTAATGTGTAACCCAAACCTCCCGTCTTAAAGCATTTCTTTTTAAGACCTTTCTCCTCCGGGCATCTCCGCCTACGACCCCCTTTTGAAAAACTCACCGGTTATTACCCCAAATGTTTAACAAACCCGAAATAACCTTGAAACGCTCCGAGGTTCTGCTCTGTTGGATAAAAACAAAAAACCCCACCTTTTTGCAAACAGAAGTCCTCTTGCGACCTAAACAGACTGGAAATAAGTTCTTCCGTTATGGCTCCTCGAAGCGATCTGTGACTCAACCATCCTTTGAAATAAATGAGAGCGAGGGAAAGGGGGGGGGAGAGAATCCAATTTAGGGAAGTTTAAAATGCGCCCGTGCAGATGGAGACCTCATTGAGTCCGTCCGACGAGTCTTTCGAAAACGGTTTTGGGGGGCAATTTATGGCACTGGAGATGCACTTCAGGAAGTGCTCCTGCTTATTCCCTACCTGCTGTTAAATGGCGTTTCTTTTTTTAAAGATAAGGGCTTTGCCCTTAACCATTTTGCGGAGCAAACACAACAACAACCCAACAGACAACAAACAAATAACCCTTCCCTTGCTAATTAAAGAAAGGCTTAATTGCTCGAATCAGTAACTCCGAACCAGATGCGGAAACTAATTCAGCAGGGTGGCAAGAAAGAAAGAAAGAAAGAAAGAAAGAAAGAAAGAAAGAAAGAAAGAAAGAAAGAAAGAAAGAAAGAAAGAAAGAAAGAAAGAAAGAAAGAACTTTGGTTGATATAGCCGTGCGGGTAGCCGTGTTGGTCTGAGGACGCAGAACGAAGTTTAAGTCCAGAGGCATCTCTCAGACCAACAAGCTTTTACCTTTCCAGGTAATGCTTTAAGCACGTTCACGTTTCCTAAAAGATGAAAACCTCATATTTCCCACGTCAGATCACACAAATTCTCTCTTTCCTCTCCCCCTTTCCTTTTCCTCTCCCCAGTCAAAATAATTTCAGTGGAAACTCTTTCAGGTAATAAGTGTGTTTAACAATAGTGCTATATCCCGCGTTTACGCGAAAGCCACCCGCTGTGCTGTATAGGGCAATCCTAGGCATGACATACTAACTTCTGTCTGTTGTGGCAGGGCAGGGGTTAAAAATATGCCATGTGACCTGGTGGAGACAGGAGACTGGGTTTGGTCTGCCAGAGAACCATTTTCACAGCGCACGACTATATAGAACAATTCCAGTCTGCATCCATTCATTTCAGTCCTCTGCCTTGGACTGCAGAATTAGTAGCGTGAACTGAAGGTTCCAGCCGGCTTACAGGTCTGGTTATGAAAGGACCCATTCAGTATTTTTTTCTTTTCAGATTTGCCTTACAAGGAGTGACCCGCTTGTTACTAATGTCTTGAGTTGACCAACAAGTGAAAGCAATAAATACTTTGACGGGGGAAGCAATCGTTCTTCTCCGTTGGTTTTCTACAGTGTTTAATTTTGGATCATGTGGCGTCCTACCGCACAATCTCGGGCCGAGTCACCCCCCCCTCCCCTTTCCCCAGAGGCTGCAAAGAACTCCAGATGGGAGAGCCGAAGTTGAGAAAGTAAAAATAATCAGTCCCTAAATAATTTAACACTCGGTACCCCAGTCACTCGGAAGAACCACCTTGTTAATCAGACCCCCACAAATTCGCCCTTTCCCGCTTGTTCCCTTTTCAGGCAAAACAATATTTTATTAATATTTCGGTTACATTATACAACGTTGCGCATTCAGCCTTTTAATACCCGTAAAGTTTTCCCATTTCGTCGACAAGAAACACTCCTCTCTTCCTTCCTGAATCACGTTTTAACCAAAGCCGACTCGGGACACAGACAAATACCAGTGCTGTAAGTTTTTTTGAAAATCGTTTTTAAAACGCAGACCTGTGCTTGACCAGACAGCGCCGCCTAGAGGTCATTCGAAGCGTTAACTCCAGGCTGCTTTTGCACGCAATCTGAACGAACAATTGGAAGGAGGGCTACAGGTCAGCCTCCTGAATTAACATCTCCGCTATCGTTACGACTCTCGCGTCAATATGACAAGCAGGCGGCGATTATAACCCAATTGACTTTCCAGAGGCTTCCGCGCTTGCGAAATGACTCCTGTTTCCAGCCTTTAAATACAACAAAAGAGAAGGAAATTGAACGGGAGGTGGTGGGCGACGCTAAGGAAACCTTCCTTCATTTTTATGAAGCTGGTTGCCGTGGGCGTTACGGTTTTAATCTCCCCTTTATAGACTTTATTTTCTTCTCAACTAAGAAGTT